GTTTATTGACAAAAACAGCAACAAGTCCACTCTGCTCAGTTATCCATCAAACATGCGGTAGATTCTTGGGAAAATTATTCAAATTTTTTAAAAACATCCATCCTCATGTTGTACGCTCCCTTTAAGATGTGACACCAGCAGTAAACAAAGGATCTGATACCGATCAGTCAAAAACGCCTTAATCAGTTTCAATCCTCATCTTTGAGATCAGCTATGGACATCCCCGATTATTTAGGTTGTAATCATTTCATGAGTCTTATCAGTAATTAAGAAGGCGGACTTTCGGCACCGTTTGCGGGTTTTTATTCATTTGGGGTTCCCTTAAAAAAGCTTATTATACTATATGTGAGTTCTCATATACTTTTATAGAACAGTTTTGCCTCCATAAGCAAATGATAGGTGAGCAAAAAGAAAAAAAATTGCCGACAACGGTTTGCAGAAAAAGGAAATATTTACGAGACGCTGTCCCACCTTAATGTGAGTAATGGTTTCTGCTTGGCCACCTCTGCAAACACTGTCTGCTTCGTTGGGCCTTTTTCTTTCTGTTCGGGCTATTTTTGTGCCAATATCATATAATCTGAACTCAGCGTTAATATCTGATTCAGTTAATCAACAGAGCCACTGGCTGGCTGCTGCTGCAGTCTCTACAGAGCCACACACATTTATTAACTCCACAACCCAGACGACAACAACAAGCCAGACTAGAATAATTATTATAATTAGGTTCTGCTCTGTTCAGGTCACTTAAGGCAAACTACAGGAATCGTACAAATGACATCAGCCTCATTGTCTGTCCTCGACGCAACCAAAGGTCCCGTTCGGTTCCTCGTTTTAGCCGTTTGTCCGCATGATTCAAGATGACAACTGCTTCTAAGTGGGCGACATATAAAAAGGAAGCTGCCCTTTTGTAGGGAAATGGGAAAACGTTGGCGATGGCATTATATGAAAGTCCAGAATGAAGCTGATACACTGAATGAAAAAGAAGAAGTGTAGGGATTAAATGCAATAAACAACCACCATCGTGTTTAAATGACAACTGTATGAAATCCTGTAATGCAGTGTTCTCTGGCAAACCCCAGATCTTGGCAGTGTCACAGTGTTCCATGTTGTTACTGTGAGATTATTCTTTTACTAATTTTAATTAATTTTACTTTTATTTTAGCTGAAAAACACAGTTGAGAGCCCGAAAAAAAGGGGCAAAATTGAGGCCACGAGACAAAAACACGCGTAAACGATTCAATTTCTCTTTTGTATTTGCAGAAAATGTGTCATCTTCCAACAAAGCAGACTCATTTCAGTTGTTCAAAAGTTATCTCACTGCTTTGTGTGAACAGATTCGATTATTTTTTCCGCTGCAGCTAAACTGAAGCTGTGCAGAAAATGCGAGTGCACGCTGGATGTTTGTTTGTTTGGAGGAGTCTTTGCGCTTGGCTGAGTTCCTCCACGTTTCCAGGCGGAGTAATAAGCCTTGGTGAAATAACAGCAAATCATCCCGGATCTCATCAACATCCAGAGGTATTACGTAATCCGGGATAAGCGCAGATTAACGTATATGCACTAATCTGGCTCTTCTCTTTTCTCTTAAATGACGGCTTCGGCTGGAAGTCACAGTGTTGGACGTCACGGAGCGCAAACACGATGAATGTCAAAGAGCGGCCGCGTCTGAAGCGGATTTTCATTTGAAAGTGGAAATGATGGATTTTGTTCTTCTATTCTGCAAAAAAAAAGCCACAGAAGGAGCTCAAATCCAGGGTTAGAGATGATACAGAAGCTAGTTCTTGAACCAAATATTGCAAATACTCTACTTTTAATGGAGGTTTTCATTTTTTAGATCAGTTTTCTACCTCAACGATCCTGAATATAACTGAAAAGAAGGTTCAGATCAATAAAAAGTAATCATATTATAGAACAGCAACTATTATTTTTCCCTTTGATTAATCTGCTTCTTATTTTCTCAATCAATAAATTAGTTGTTTGGTCGATAAAATGTCAGAATCAAATGTATTATTTTGTCCACAACCCAAAGAGATTCAGTTTACTGTCACAGAGGAGGAAAGAATCTGCAAAAAATTCTGTTTTTTAGTCTTTTTCTCTTTAAAAAAATCACTAAAATCGATAATCAAATAGTTGCAAACTAACTAACCTTTACGGCTCTTACATATTAATAACAGCATGAAGCGAAAGAAGGCAAGCTTTGTTTTTGATTTTGTTATTGTGCTAAAACATCCCTTGAAAAGCTCAGAACCTGTAACATTTTCAGGTTGATTTCAGCGTTGCCTGACCAGCCTACGCTGACCCTGCTTATGTGTTCAAACTGGAAACTACAATATTAAAGAAACAGACCCCAGATATGTTTTTTAGTTTCAAAAACCCTCAATAATGTCGTAAAACAGGCCAGCACTGTAGTTTTTTGTGTGCAAATGTTCCTTAAACGGGGAGAAATGGTGCATTTATTGGGGACTATTTTCTGCAGCGGATGAAGCTATTCTGTATATGTGGTACTGAGTCTAAATAGAATGGACTGTATGTGTTGATTGTAAGGCAGGAACATGTCGCCCTTTCTAAAGGTGCGGCCTATTGTTGTGTTTTTGATCACTGACGGACAACAATGGAGCTCTGAGGCTCACAGGAATAAGACGTGTCAGACAGACAGTCCTCGTTAGGCACAATACATTCCTGTTGGGTTCTTTGTGTGTTCTTGTTGGCTGTAAGGAGAACACTTAACAGATTCATTTCAAATCTCCTCCCTTTAGATATCCCCGGGTTTTTCCTCTGCACCAGTCTAACCAGTAATCGTCGGGTTTTTTTGCATTTGAAAAACCTGAAGGAAATGGAGCCTTTCCATTCCAGCGTGTTCACACCCCTCCAGGGCGGCTCCACGCCGAACGGCCGAGTGAAAGATTTCCAGTTTGTCTATTCAGGTAACAATCAGCATGGGGGCAGCTGCAGCCTGGAGCTGTAATAAATAGAATTCCTGTAAGTGTGAGAGCAGGAAGACAGATAGAAAAATAAATAAAAAAAATCCCCTGACAGAGAGGGAAGACGCTCCTTATGTGATAAAGCTTCTGTGTTCTGAGGTTTAACAGCACGTCGGTCATGCTGCTGTAAAAAAAAAAAAAAGGTACATCGTGTCCACAACGGCTGCACGGTGGAGAAAGCGCTCGGTTACACTGTCAGAAGTGTGCTAAAGGGCTCTTATGTAAGCGTGACATCCAGGCCGGCGTGCTGGATATGAAACGTTTCCGCGGGCAGATAAATAAAATGTACGTCTGTGCCACATATAGCTGCCACAACGAGGCGTGGAGGAGATAGGCATCAGGAGGTTAAGGTGGGACGTTTCCTTTTTGGTGACGCTCACGAAGGGAAACAAACTGGTGACTTTCCTGTTTGGTGTTCTCTCATTGCATCTGCACACTGATGTCTTGTGGATGTTCATATTACACTCACATAATGTCACAACAAATCAACTCTCCACGCTGCGGTCTTTGCTACGTAACATTTGATATACGTTTAATGCAGAACCGATGCATCGCCACAGACTTGAAATGCTCCTGTGTGCATCAGTGTGCACTGTGGCCTACATCACATGGCTGCAGAGTCATTGCAAAACATGTGACTTTATCTGCTCACTGCTTGAAAGAGGAGTCATTTTATTGCAATGCCGCCTTCAAAACAACAACGATCTCTAGAGTTCACCTGGCCTTACCCAGGCAGTGGCAGTGCATCTACTGGAGGCGACTGCAGCAGTAAAATTCCATTAACATAAAGCTTTGCAGTGTTTAAAACCAGGCCCGAGGTTTTGCAGCACAAAACTCCGACCTGTTATTTATTGTATTTATTATCTCAGGTATTGTGTTGTTCTACGTAGTGCACCAATTGTTCTGTGGCTGTTTTCTGCCCAACAAAAGGGACGACACATGTAAATTAGTGGCGAGCTAACTCTGGTGGGATCGCTTTTAACTGCGCGCTGATTCTCGAACAACAAACAATGAACTAAAATAAACTATAAAGATTCCTCTACATATATCTAAATATACATTTCAGATTGTATATTTTGCATGTTTAAAGATTCTCACACTGTATTAAATGTAAAATAGTTAAAGCTCAGTGAAGACAAACAACTTCACGTCAACAAATGTGGATTTTTCTTTAGTTGAAGCTTCGACTGATGATCTGTTGGAGCTCCAGCCGACTGGAACAACGATGAGAGACAACCTGCTTAAAGAATCCTGAATAGAAATCTGCAGGAAAATTCCACAGTGCAAACAATGGTGGTTCTATGACACATATCCTGCTCTTCCACCCAAAAACCCAACTGGGTGTTTTATTAATAGTCCAACAGGGAAACATGAACCAACCGAGTTGTTGCTCACAGTGGAGGTTTCAACTGTGTGGCATCAGGAAGGAGCAGGTGCAGACGGACCTCTGTCAGAGATATCGCTTCAAATACTGGCTCACTATATCCATAGATGTGAATTAGAACGACATTTGTGCAGCAAATATTGATCAACATTGTGCGGCACGTGAAGTTAAGAAGTTTGTGCACGAAAAGGAGAATAAAAACGGTTTTTAAGAAATACTTTTGGACAAAGTTACCAAATCTTGATTGTTTTTTTAAAAATCTGTTTCTTTATCAGAGTTGACCCGTGATTCTATTCAAGCACTTTTTATGTCCTGACCACCATTAAAAATGCAGTTCCGACATTCATTTCGATCGCAGCCTGGTGCTGTAAACCCAAAATAACTGCCTCAGGGTGTTACCAAGACGACCACAGAGTAGCAAGACTTCCTCATAAGGATTTTGCATCAACCGTGGTTAGATAATGTGCTATTATGAGAGCCAAGAGCTCAGATGCATGATGTTCTCATTGTAAGACTTTGGTTTTACTGTCACAGAAGTGATAAAAGCATCAATTCCATAACTGAGATTTCAAGTATGTGTAAATATAAGTTTAAATACAAATGACCACGTATCAATTAGTGCAAACAAGACAGCGGAAAATGGTTCAAAATATCTACTTTTTAATTTATATAAAAGTGCATGAAGCTTCTATTACATTTGGTTCAATGGACTGACAGCTGAGAAATTCCCTCAGAGCTGACAGGAACAAAGAAAAGCACAAATTTCCTTTTTTTTTTTTTTTGCAGTTCTGAGCATGACTGACCACCAGCTGTCTGTCAGAAATCACCTTCTGATCATTTTCCAGTATTTGGTTCAGTTAGAATGTCTCCAAACCCTCTCCTAGTTAAGGCCTAAACCAAACCCTGACTGCAGCTCTTTTTATTTTCAGTGCTGTTACTTGTTTCCACCTGAGCATTAAAACTGTTCCACACTTTGGGGAAAACAAAGCGCTAGTTTCCGTCTTTCTTCTTGGCGTGATTCGGACCGCTCGCTGCCTCCGATGCCGCCTGCTTTCCTGCACATCTACATCCCTGCTCTCTGGCCAGACTGGTGAGGAGCTCCAGCACTCTGATCTCGTGCTCCATGCGAGCCTTCTCCCTCCTCTCCTCCCTCTCGGCCGTCTCCCGCTGCCGGCGCTCCTCCCTCTGCAGCCACTGGGCCAGGAGCTCCTGGTGCCACCGGGCCTGCTCCTGCCTCTGACCCTCCAGCTGCACCAGGAGGCCGCGGGTCTCCGACACCAGCTGCCGGAAGCACTCCGACAGGTGCTGGAGGACGGGTTCGAGGCAGGAGGAGTCGGGGTGATGGTGGCCAGATGCGGGGAGGCTGCCGGGGTTCACGTCTGGGGGAGGCAGCAGAGGGGAGGCGGCGGATTGGGTGAGAGGGGGAGGCGGTGGAGCAGGTAGGGGAGGAACTGCAGGAGGGGAAGGAGTGCTGAGGCTGTTCTCCACTGTTGTACCTGAGATATGAAACAAAACAGGTGTGACATTAGTGACAGGAATGGAGCTGAAACAAATCATCCAAATAACCCTCTGAACCCGAAATCTTGCCAGCAGGTTTGAAACACGTTATTTTTTTTCTCTCGATTTAAAAAACAAGGCATATATAGACATAGACTCCTCACAACCTCCAGACAGATCAACAGCTTCATTCCACAAGCTGACAGAATGCTGAACTGTTGATCCAGATATGTAAACAATTCTTTATTTAATTGCATTTGGTTTTTGGATCCTGAAGAAACGCTCTCTCATCGTGTTTGTACTGCTGTTGTATGTACAGCAAAATGAAAATTAACTTGATCTGATTTTGATATATCAACGCAAGAAACTTTAACAACAGGATGAATCTGCAGATTTCCTTCAACAAATCATGTGTAACTTTCAGTTTCAGTGGGATAAACAACCAAAGCTAAGCTAAAAATCTGTACATTTAATCAAAATCAGTCTCATTTGAGAATTTACCAAAAATAAACAGTCTGATGTAACCAGATTCTATTAAAAATTTTTCTATAATTAGTAGCATCTCATTTAACCAACTTATTGAGAAAAATGTTTTGTCTGTTTGTCCTGCCTTCACACGAGAGGCTTACAGCTATGATAAAGGTTCTAATCATTTTAAACATACACACTCACAATAATAGTAGCTGAAAATTTACAATCAAAATTATGAGATCATAAGAAAGTAAAATTACATAATGACAACATTTATCAAATCATTTAAAGCGTGATTGAAATAGTAATCCCAGTACATACCGCTGAGTTCACGGTGGATGGCTGTTTCCAGATAAACTTCATGCCGTCTGTCTCTTGGATGCTGTGAGAATCCCGAGTCGCTGAATTCAAATTCATCCGTTGACTCTTCCCTGTCCTCCATCTTGACCTCTGAGTCGAGCTGACATCCTGCCCTCTCCTCTAAAGAGACCAAAGGCTGCCTCGCCGATCTCCCCAAAGAGCAAAAATGATGTCCCCCAACCTCCGTGTTAGAATGTAAATCAGGCAGGATGCCTCTTGTCCCGTCCATGGCGTCGAGGTGACGCTCTGCCGTCCCTTCTGGAGACACAAAATGAGGTCCTTCTTCCCCTCCGGCCGACCTCCTCCCCAACACCGCCTCCATCTCTGCAAAGTATTTAAAAGTGCACGGCTGCGAGCTGTCTACGCTTTTCTGCAGTTTGGCTCTGACGTAGTTGGCCTTCAGGGTTTTCACCCGCAGCCGGCACTGGTGCGGACTCCGAGAGAATCCCATTTCACTCATCCGGCCCGAGAGGTGTTTGAAGACGTGGCGGTTGCGAAGGTTTTCTGCCAAACTCTTCTGGACGCGCTCGTCACTCCAGGCGCACAGCAGCACCTGAGTTTCCTCCGCGGTCCAGTTAACTGAGCGCTCGGCCTCTCGTTTCCCTGTGCGTGCACAACACAGCTCAGTGATGACATATTCTTAACAAGTCATAAAACATAGTACACAATGACACACTTGCCAGCTTATCAGATACGTGGAGTCAGAATTATGCCCTAAAATATATGTGAAGATGAAGAAAAACTACTTCCACCAAACTGAAATGAAATCTACTCGGTAGGAAAACAAATCTTCTTGAAGTAGGGCTGTACTGTACAGATCAACTGGTCGGTTGATTTACTTTAATTCGACCAATTTCGTATTAATTGTGCAAACACTCGTGTTGCTTATATAAGGAGAAAAGCGCTACATCAACAGCCTTCCCTTCCAGGAATAATCCATTATTTTAACATCCTCAGAAGACTCCTGAGTTTTCATACCTCCAGGTGTGCCCAACCTCATAAAGACTGTTCAATTAAACTTATTTAGCCTTTACTGAACATTTACTCAGAGTCGGCTCCAGACTGACTGACATCGTGCTAAAGAAGCTGTCGGTGTGGCTGCATTTTGACAAAATGTTGAGTGTAAACTTTGCAAACATCATATCACAGCTCCACAGCCTATAAATCATCTAGTAGGCTGGTTTGTCTGTGTTATATTTCTTAAGAGTATTTGTGCTGAAGTCACAAGTTGATATTGTTCTATTTTTGGAAACTCAACGTGGGCAGGTGCGTGATGGTCTGCTCCGAGTCTGTTCTAATCATCTCATTATAAAATAACAAGGTTATAATGATTTAATAAACACTAGCTTTTCACGGCTATAAAAAATTAATTGAGGCTAATAAGACTAGCAGGTAGAGAGCACTCAGTGCACTGTGGCTGATTTAATTATCTATTATGCACAGATTTTGTTTGGAGAGTAGATATGATTTCTGTTTGTACAGTCCTGGCAAACTTTTAACGTGATCTATCTACTAAACTTGCAACTGTGTGTATATTACTGTGAATGCAACTTTAAATAAAACACTTTCAATACTCCCTACATCTGTAACTGTGTAATCTGAATAAGCTTAATCAGCTTGAATAACAACTATCAACTTGCAAATTTAGGATCAAAGTGACTCCTGAATGAAACAAGGAAATAAATCCTTAATAGCTAAATTTTAAAGTAGAATGTGATGCTATGGATCCTCTTTCAGACATGCACCTTTATACAATAATCTGATGGCAGTTTAACAGTTGTTTTACCTTAAGTGATTCTGACAAGGCAGGAAAATCAAATTGAAATCATACTCAGCTATTCAGTTTCTATGAAAAACATGATGTTTATGTCTTCCCTCAGTTAGGAGCAAAACTTAGCAACAACAAACTTGTCATTTGGCTTCAGTAACATGAAGATCATGCTGATCATGTTGCAGATTTCAGGTTCAGAAATAGAAATCCATATGCATATTTAGCAGAGATCAGATTCTAAACGTGCTGCTAATTTTTCAGGAAACAGGAAGTTAGCTGACACCTTCAAAGTTGAGAGTTAGCAAACAAGCTAACTCAGATATGCAGAGTGAAAGTAGTCTGAAAACACTGCTCCAAATGTTAAACGTTCTCAGCGTCAGACTGCAAAACGTCCTGTTTTGAGCACAGAATCGCTGAACAGCTGGTAAACTGAGTGAAACCAGACTACAGTGCAACTCCTGCTGTGTAGCAGCCTCGGTTAACGTTAGCAGCTAGCAGCTAGCCGACCCACATTTCCACCTGTGAGACTCTGCTTTTCTGTTCAGGCACAAACACAACGTGTCGGCCGCAGCACCGGGTCTTACTTCTGGTCGTGGATACGGAGTTTGTGGAGTTGATCATCGGAGGGTTCATGTTGTCGAGCTGCAGCAGATGTAAACAGTAAACACACCGACGCTCCTCACTTCCGGGTGACGCAGCTTAACGTGTGACGTCGCGTTACGTGACGCAGCTTCGAGTTAGAACAATACATTTCTTCAGAAAATAAAAAATAAATGAAGAAAATAATCTAAAAATAACGAAATTCGTCTCTATGAATGATAACAAATGTACAGAAAATGTATTACAGACACTTAAATTATACAACACACATGATCTAATATGCAAGGCTCACACTTGTCCTATATTTTATCTTTACACAGCCTATAATTTTTTTATGTCTCCTTTTGGAACCATGAAATTTTTATGCCATTGTACCTAATATTGATGCTTCAACATCACATATTCCTTCCTTTTTAATATTCAGTATATTCCTACACTGCGTTATATATACGCATTCACAAAAGCTCCACAGGCTTTCGCTTTATTGTTCAATCCTCAATATAGCTGGTTTCACTTGACACAGAATTATCTACAGCATTATTATCATTTGTATTTATTACTATTATGGTTATATAAAACTTTTATTTTAAATATACCATCTATTATACATCACATATAGCATCTCTCCTCTGCCTTCACAGGCCACTCTGTAAATTCTGCACATGTGATTTATTAAACCTGAGCACTGCTATAATAGAACAGACATTCTCAACCAACTGAGCCTGTAGTAGAGCTATACAGTACATCATTTTAGAACCTACTTTGCAATGTGTGCATGAGCAATAGTCCCATCGCAGGAAGTGCAATGTGAAGTAAGACAAACTACCTCAAACAGATCATGTTATAACTGTTTTTGTTGCTTGACCCAAAAAGAAAACTTGTTCCCATTTTCAATCTACAGCAAAATCTGTCGAATAGAACATCATTTATTCCATCATCATGTATTTCCCTTCATTTACATGTTCTGGGATAATATGAGTTTTGTTTCATTTAACTTTATTCATGAGATACAGAGTTTGTGGACATGCAGGCTCCCCATGTAAACAGCAAAATGAGCAAGAAACAGGAGATAAACACTAAAAAGGAAGGTTTGGGTACAAAAAGAGACGCAACATCCGTTGTGTGGAAATATTTCTGTCACAGGAAGGAGGCTGTTGAACGAAAAACAAGTGCTCTGTCTGCAGTGTCTTGCAATTGTTACCAGTGTTGCAGTTGCACCACCTCCAAATCCACCACAGTCTGTCTAGGATGACTCATTTTCTGAATCCGGTACAAATTTCTGCATGTTTTTCATATCACAATATATATCATAATGTCACTTTGTTCCCCCCAATAACGTGCACCCCTCACCTGTATAAATGCAGCATAAGAAACCTCTTAAAATACATTTTGCACACAGTTCAAAAGCCCAGAAATGGCGTGCACACAGTAGCTGGGGGTTGATGTCAGAGGCAGCGTTCAGACCGACAACAGCGCTGCATGAAAAACCACCTCATTCATTTACATGAGACAGCAGTCAGCACAGCAGGGTTCCAGTGCGGAGGCCTCAGGCAGGAGAAGTCAGGGTCAAACAGCGAGAAAGTTTAACCCGGTTGAACCTTCGCTTCAACACAATCATCCTGTCAGTGCAAACAGCAACCAAACAAGTGCACAATCCTTTGTAATGTATACATACGATATAATGTCCACAGTGCAGCGTGCAGAGTTTTGTGCAGCCCTTTGAATTTTTGATGCAGAGCTATTTTTGGTGTGGATGCCAGTTAAGGTCATGCTTCAACAATGGGTCTAGTATCCAGATATCAACATGAGTTAGAAATGGGATTTTCTGTTATTAAAAAAACGCAATTTTCCCCCAAGCCAATAATCCAACGTCCACCAGGACCTAAGCACCCTCCTACTATATTTATACTGCACTAAAACTTTTTAAAACTCCTTTTTTTTATTGTAAATACCAACAATTCTGCACCTTAATTTTAAATATCAGCAATTTTGCACCTTGTTTTTTCGATTTGCACGCAGATTGCACAACGTTTCCGAGATGAACCATTTAACGTTTTGTTAGTTTGAACTGCAGTTATATGGTTTAGCACATGAAACATCAAATTTGAGTTTAAGTGAAGCACAATATGAAGCTGACACAACTTCAAAGTTTGATCTAAATCAGACTTATTAAATCAAACTAATTGTCTTGCAGCCAAACAAGTCCTGTAGGTTTAGGTTCGACAACAACAAAAACGCATTAGTTTGCATGAATTTTTTTCATTTCAGACAACTTATTCCTTATTTTTCTGAAATGTAACATGTGTGAGCTACAAGACAGGATGAATAAAGTATCTATCTATCTATCTATCTATCTATCTATCTATCTATCTATCTATCTATCTATCTATCTAGTTTGGAGAACGCGTCTCTTAAAGAGGCTGCGAGGTGTTAATGGCTCGTCTTGTGCGTTCCCTGGGCGTCTGCCGAGCGCATTAGGATCCGCGTCGTCTCTCCGTTTATTTCACCGCTTCACCTCCTCCGTCGTTCGTCTACAAACACAGCAATTAGAGGAGGACGTTGTGCTAATGCAGATTCAGTCTGCTCTCCTGCAGCAGCATTTGCATTTTGAGCTCTCGGCCTTTGTTCCTTTTGTACATTGGAATGCCTTGCAATGAGTTTACCAGTAATCTTAAAAGAGAGAATGGAGTGTGTTGTTTGCGTCTGTCTGCAGCACTTGATTGTGCTGCCTTGCATGAAAGAACAGATTTTTCTTACAAAGAATTAAGTGAGAGCATCTAACTTTATTTTTCCTTATTTCGTGCAGCATTCAGCCCATCCTAGTGCCAGTTTCACACAAAGTCTGAGTCATTTTGGAGTTGTAGGAGGTGTATTTTTGTACCGTTGTGTCCTTCTTACTTGAAAATTAAAACGTCTTTCATTACCAACTCAATTACGTAATAAATGTCATGAATTACGCAACACAGCTCTCCTGTAACATCTACAGTTTGCAGGCGTCGTCAAATCTGGCTCGACTTCTGTCAGAAACTACAAAGACATCCCAGATTACAAGATAAAGATGAAAGAGATCTGATGTCTTCTGGGAGCCAGATGACGGATGAAATCAACTGAGAACTAAACAGTAACTCGATCAAACCAAAATGGAAAACTCTCAGTCTGGTCAGTGTAATAGTGACTGATGATCTCACAATGAGGAAATGAAAAAAGGAAGCTGTGGATTTTTAGAAAAACCTCCAGAAGGGGTTTTGCACAGGAGTTTACGAGGAAGATGTAGAGGAATAACACGAGAAAGTCCCTTTATAGCAGAGGAGGGAATACACTGGAAAGGAGAAAGTTAATTCCACTATCTGGTCTTGAACCCAACTTTTACAGGAATCTTTTAGAAACTCTGACCAGGAACTACCGATTACAAGAAGGACGTTTCTGTTTAGGGAAAGATTTAGACCCCTGAGAAGGTTTTTGCTGATGTGTTGGGACTTTATAGTCCCCCAAAAAACCCCTGGAAGACATAGAACAATGGGAGTTTGCTATATTAGCCTATATGGTGAGTTTCCGATGGGGATGTAACTGCTACTGGATGAGGACATTGAGAGGGCAGAAAAACGTAACTTCTCTGAGTATTTGGGAACCATCAAGAACCAAACAGCAGTTCTGCCCCCTAAAAAATGAAGCTCTATTTGGACGGTTATTGTAGTAGGAACATGTTAAAAGGTTTGGGCTTCCCTAAAACGGCCTGCAAGTTCCTGCAGTGCAAAGAAAGAACAAGACATTGGGAAGGAATGACTTTGAGTGTGTCCATTTCCCAAACTGTTCATTAAAAAAGTCAAGACAGAAAGAGTCAGTCATCGGTAATGTCCAGTTTCAACAGACAATACATCTCAGCAAGACGCTTGAAGTCCAGTAAATCACAGATAAACAGACTGAAAAAGCTTCTACCCCAGAGCCACAAGAGAACCAAACAGCAGAGGGAATACACTGGAAAAGAGAAGTTAAGTCCACTAACTGGTCTTCGACCCAACTTTTTCAGCCATCTTTTAGAAAGTCTGACCAGGATCTACCAATTGCAAGAAGGACGTTTCTGTTTAGGGAAAGACTTTCGCCCCTGAGAAGGTTTTTGCTGATGTGTTGGGACTTGTTCAGTTCCCCACAAACCCCTGGAAGAAACAGAATAATGACAGTTTGCTATACTAGCCTGTACAGTGAAACTTAGGATGGGGATGTAACTGCTACTGGACGAGGACATGGAGAGGGCAGAAAAATGCCACTTCTTGTCCTCTCAGAACATTTGGGAACAAAACACGGTCGAGACCTAAACAGCAGTTTCCCCCCTAAAAAAATGAAGCTCTACTTGGATGGTTATTGCAGTCGGAACAATTTAAAAGGTTTAGGCTTCCCTATAAAGGCCTGCAGTACAAAAAAAAGGCTCCAAAATAAGACTTGGGGTAGGAATGACTTTCAGTGTGTCCATTTTCCAAACTATTGGACAAAGCAGTCAAGACAGTTGGTCAGCAGTAACGTCCAGTAAATCACAGACGAACAGACTCAGAAAGCTTCCACGCCAGAGCCAGAGACCCGTCTGGACCTGAGCACCACTTTGTATTTATTTATTGAACACTAAAAGACCGACCAGTTTCATTCCAACTCACAGTAACGATACCGATATTATATTCTAGACGAACAATGCTGTGCTCTTTTCTCTCAACCCAGTGCTACGAAAAACGATGTAGAGTTCAGCTAGGAGTACATCCAAAAGTACCTCCATCAGTGACAAACATTTGGGTGCATACAGCCACTCGTCGTACCAGAGTACATGTAGAACAGTAGCTGGTGAAATGTGTGTTTAGATTCAACACAGAGATTTTCTGTGATGATTCTGATCGACTAGACACAGTTTAATTGTAAAACTGTACATTGCTTCCAAAGAGAAATGCTAGATTCTGACATTTAAACGTTATAAGCTGTGCATTGGGAAAAGTCTCACCAGATGTGTTTCTATGATTTATTTGTAAGCACGTTTTCATGTATTGCATTAGATAAAGTGAATAAAAACATAAATACAGCAAAGTTTTTACGCTTGCTTGATGTGGTTTTTG